CCCCTGTATATGACAAGGATTTTCCAACATGAAATACCCAACTAAGCCAACCTATGCATGCTCCTTCTGCCTCAGGAGAAATTTTCAGAGGTCAACACAAAGCAGAAAACCAAATTAAATGTTCCAGTTCTCCTCCTTTCACATGGAGAAATCTCTGTGAAACAGATCAGCCAAACCAGACATTTCATTTCATCAAGGAATTGCGTTTCAAATTATCTGGGTATCAAATTAGCACGGCCCTTTCAGTGTCAATGAAAGGAAAGCCCTGACCAGTTCACCAGGACAGAAGGAAGTTCCCATCAAAATTCCACAGGTTCAATGAAACWGAGGTCAGAAAGCACTTTCAGGAGCTGAGCCACAAGCGCTGTCACGTGGTTTGTGTGACAAGAGACTCACCCCATGGCTCTGACTCCAGCACAGACAGCACATCCAAGTGTTTGGACCCACAGGAACATCAGAAATCATGAAAYGGGTTGGGTGGGAAGGGACCTTAAAGTCCATCCCATCCCACCTCTGCCGTGGGCAGGGACACCTCCCACCATCCCAGGGTGCTCCAAGCCCTGCCCAACCYGGCCTTGGACAGTGCCAGGGATTGGGCAAAAYCTCWGTCCCAAAGAGTTTAACTGTCACTGACACAGGATTTCCCTCTGGAATAATGAACACCAGGGCTTCCTTTAATTCCAGGATCTTTGCAGAGGACTTGCCACAACTTTCAGGCAAGCCCTGGTCACGGTGCCTGCCAGCAGCACCCAACATTGTCAAACATCCCCAAATATCCTCAGATGAAGATACTCCCAGGGCAGGAAGCAGCCTGGTTGCAGTAGCTGTGCTCCAGAAGGGCAGCTGCCAAAATTACCTTCTGTCTCCACTCGAATTCCAGCTCCCAGAGAAGAACTTGCACGGTCACATTGCCAAAAGGCAAAACCGAGCAGAAACCCCAATCCCAGCCCTGTTGTCCTCACTATTCTTCACCAAGTCGATGTGAAAAATTCCCCACATTCAACGGGGCCATCCCTGCAGAGTTCTATTGTCTCCAATTATTAATTAAACATGCTCGGATAGAAAGCAAATGCCTGAAATCATTTGCTTCTGCCGAGCAACTCCCACACTGCCCAAGTGCAATTCYGACAGTCTAAGTATATCCATTGACTGCAATTCCAGAGGGACCCCACCACCAGCACCACGGGAACTCTCCCTTCACTCCAGTTCAATCACACACACGCACACATGAGCCACAGGAGACCCCAGCCAAGAAAACCCAGCCAATTTTCCTGAAAACCTGCTCAGTGTTGAAAACTTGTCCCAGCTGAATATGCCGAGTGTCTTTTCGCTCACCCCAGGAGGAGCAGAGGCTGGTTAGGTTTGGGAGGAGATCTGTGCAGCCTTTCATCAGCAGGACAGATCCATCCCGGGCCATTACTCATCTAGAACCATCCTGGACCCGACACCTACGTGCTGTCCTGATCCCTCYCCACGGTTTTTGCTGGATAAACAGCACACAAACACTCCAGTGCTGCCAGGGTAACTCTGCCCAACAGCAATCAGGCATCAGACAGCCTAAACCTGCTCACTTGAATATTAGAATTACTGGATCCTGACACTCCACGTCATCCTGCTGCTTTTTGTGATTAAAAAGAGAAAAATTTACAGTTCAGTGTCTTTTATGGAAGTTTGATGGTTAAGGATGTGGAGCTGCATTCAGCTTTGATTTTCCTTGGGAGATCTGAGAGACCAAGGTAGAAAAACGAAAGTTTGATTCCACCACTACTTCAGTGTCTTCAGGGACAAAGAGGAGCTTAGAACACATGTGTTTTGTGTGGATGGTGATATCTAAATATGTGAAATGACACAGGCATCTTTAATTGCTTATTTTATATAAAAACTTGGCCCCATGCACACCTTCCAGACAAGGRGAAAATGCAACAGGAAAAGAAAGTTTCTCAGCAAAACACAGACAGACCCAGCGCTTTCCTGCTTCTCACAACAAGGGGACACCACAAGGAAGGAGCTTCTCTCCTCCTTTCCTTGGGAGCACACTATCTTTTCCTTCAGCCATCCCTACTAAAGCCACTCTCAACTCAATTCCCAGAGCTGCCAACAGGAAAAGTGACCAGGAGCAACAGCACTAAAATAAAATATAAAATAATAATAAAAACCATGAAATGCAGGATACTGGAGCTGAGCTGTGACTCACGGCACTCCTGGCTGTTCAGTAACACCATGCSATGCCATCATTTGGGAAAAGCCACTGCAGCATTATCACCAACAGACACAGGTCTGTCTACACATGCAACAAAAAAGAACCTGGGATTCCACAATTAAAATCCCTCTACTTTTAATTACGACCTCCCAAGCTCTAGGCAGATATTAACCTATATTAGCCTATAATTAATTTTTTTTTTCTGACTTCCCATTATCTTTTAGCTACTGAGTCTCCTAACCAGTCTTCAAGGCTGGGCCCTCACTGCATGATCTTTGAAAGTCTGAAATTAAAAGCACAGTCATTAAAGTGTATCCATAAGAAACARAGAGTCAGGAGACATCCAGAATGATTCCCTACCTCCCTGCATGTCCCAGCCCTTCCTTCCACTTCTGTTCTTACAGGCCAAATTCAACTCTACCCCAGCTAAGCCTGAACTGAATTAAATCATTTTGCATGCATAAGATTAGTCCTCGCTCCAAGGAATTTATAATTTGAGAAGCAGATGTGGAGGTGGCCAAGAAGTCAAAAAGAATGGCAGAGCTAGGATTACACATATCCTGCATTCTGCTTCCCAGGAGTGAAGCCCTGAGGCAAACAGAGAATCATGGAAAAACAGGGATGGAGCAGTAATTGCTGATAAAAGTACCCAGCAATCACCTGGGATCAACTGAGACAGAGGAGAACACAGTGAGGGCCCCACCTCGGAGCTGACTTGGAAGAAATTAAGCACAAAGATTGGTTTAGAGATGAGCACTGAATGCAAAATCATGGGGACTGTGTATRGGACACATTCATCACAATATAAAACCCAACAGGAAGCAGAACAAATAAAAACCCGGAGGTTCATTCTGCCCTCATGGGTATTTGCTAACCTCCAGATCACAGAACTCACAGGGGAAACTGAGAGAGCAGCACTCAGAACCTTGTGAGCTGCATCCTGCAAGTGGTGTTCTGTCCACACAACCTTCTCACCAGTGTCCTGCCTCCAGACAACACAGCAACAGGACTTTAAAAGTTCATTTAAACTAGCATAAGTTAATGAGCTTTCCTTTMATTAAGTGGTTTATTTATTAGGATCATTTCATTCAAGAAGTACTGAGGAAAACCAAGCTGGCCAACCCTTCTGCTGACAACAGGGCAAGACTCCAGAACAGGCAAGACTCTTTTGTTTCAGTGAAAGTTGAGGTCTTTTCATTATTAAATAAAAAAAAAGTTCAAACACCAGAGGAGTTTTTAATGACTGGAGTGCCCGGTCCCCACGCCCCTTATCTCCAGCGAGTTTTGTTGTCTTTGCTTTCAGGGATTTGCAGTGAAAGGAAGATGAAAGTGTGAGCTGGAGGAAAAGAGGATTGAGAATTGATGACATCATTTGAATTCATGAAGTCATCTTGCCACAAAATGCCCAAACAATAGCAGTCCCTGCCCAGGCACCTCCACCCCAAGACAGCGTGGCAGCTTTGATTTGAAAAACCTGAAAGTTTGCAGTAGAAGAGAAACAAGAAATTGTTGCTAGTTGTTTCTTACACAAATTAAAACATTGAGAAGCCTGGCACTGATGTSTCCTGAAACAAGCTTTACAGCTAGTAACCAAAAACTTTGGTATTAAACAGAAAAATCACATCTGTTTCAATGCAGTTATTTCTTCTAAAGTGATACCTAAATACTGTGTTTCCCCATAAGGGAATAACAAYGGTATTTTTCTAGCTCCTTAGCTCATATAGCAGTATTTTATGTGCYTTTTCTTCCAGAACAAATTAACAGGGTGCTTGGGTTGATTTCTTTGTTGATGTACGCACTACCTTCAGTGAGATTGCAAAATTCYCTGCAATGTTTGCTTTTAAATGGTCTGGTTGGCAACACATCCCCTGGGGGGAGGYACAGCAGAGGAGCAAGGGCTTGGCCACCAGAATTTGAAAATAACTGGAGGCAGGAGAGGTTCATAAAGGTTGCAAAAGCTTGGTGTCTGCTGCCCTGGCAGTATTTGTGGGGATCGTTGTGTTTTCAAAAGTGCTTACAGCGGGGTTCTGAGAGAAGAGGAAGCACTTGTGCGTCTTTGATGAGTGAGTTACAGGTCACAGACAGAGCGCAGTGAGTCACAGACAGAGCTCTTTAACTCCAGCACCACTGACAATGCAACTGCTGAAAAGACTTCTAGTAAACAGACAGGCCCACTACCCCTTCTGAGATTCTGAGTGGCTCAGAGAAGTTCTCTGTGCTCCTAAAACCACTGGTTGGTGATACTCTTAAAAATGCTCTTCGCAGTTCAGCTAAGCACAGCAGCAGCAGCTTCCCCTCCAAATGATAACCAAAAAAACCCAATCCCAAAGCAAAGAAACCCAGTCAAACCCATCCCCAGCCACTTCCACTACTGTGTTTTCCAATATTGGGAATGGTAAAAGCCCAACCTACATGCATTGGCAGTTTTGTAATACCATTACATAAGAATTATTTAACTACAGCAACAGATTTGAAAAGCAGCAGCAGCAGCAGTCACAGCTAGGCTGGTTCACACATCAGAAAAAAAAAATCAATAAAGGGAGTGATGAATTTTGTAAACATGCATTTGACTGTCAAAGAGAGTGGACTGGGACTTGGGATTACAACAYCCTCAAGAGCAGAAACMTTTCAGCTCAGAGCTGCCAGGGCACCACCACCCCTGCAAAGAGAAAACAAACAGCACCACTGGTGCCATTCCAACCTCACCAGAACCAGCTCCAGCCTTGAAAGAGCACCATGAAAAGCTGCATTTCTGACAAGCCCGAAGGGCTGAGTTTGGAAACCTGGGAGTGGTTTCTACCTGATGCTCTGCGTGGATGTTGTCCCCGGTGGGCCAGCGGTGTTTGCTGTTGTTGTAGCCGCCGCCGCCGCTGCCTCCTCCCCCGAGCTGCTCCCCGTGCTGCCTCTGGAAGAAATAATCCACCATGGCGTCGTCCTGGGAGCGCCCCGCCACTCCTATGGATCCCGGCACGGGGCTGGAGTGTGTCCCTGCTGCAAGGGCCTGGTTTGCAGCTGGCTGTGGCTGAGCCTGGGAGCCTGTGCCAGATGTCAGTACCACAGGCATGGTGGGGTTGGCTGTGTCTTGAGCGTGCTGCTTCAGGTGGGGGCTGAACGAGTCCTGCCACAGAACTGCTTTTCTCTTCAAAACACACGCTACGCTCATTCCACCAACACCTGCAGAGGGGGGAGATGGGGGAAACACAGGGAAAAGAGACATGAAATCCTCACAGCTCCAGCCTGGCATGGTAAAGAACGCGTGCATCTTGTCACTGGCAGGGGAACATCGCTGTGGCAAATGTGACTCCTTCAACACTCACTCTCCCTATGTATCCAGCAGCTAAACAGCATGAAAATGTACAGAAATGCCTTATTCTGTGCTACATGGGGTTATAGGATACACAGGATGCCCATGGGGCACCAGCAGAACGGCAACTTCGGCAATGGACAACACATTGAGTGGAAAACTGCTGGAAAAAAGCCCCATGGAAGGCAGTGACACCAGCAGAACCTGGCAAAAGAGGACAGGTCCCCCATTCATACAAACGCTCGAGGCCCCCTGTATCCCACTGTATCCTGAAGTATTCCCTMAACCAAGCAAAGTAGAAAAGCAACAGTTTGGGTTTGTTTTGGTTTTTTCCAGCACAAACTTTAAATTCTGGATTTCTGCTCATACAGTTCATGGAGTCCCAAACACAACATGCGCTCTCCCTGCTAACTCATACCCTGAGCTCAGGAGACAGCAAAGCACATGGACGTGCTTTCTGAAATTCCCTGGAGAAGGAGCAGCTAAACCTGGGATCTCAGCAGAACTTTCCAGAGCAGGCACAGCCAGCACTGCTGGTCCCACTGTCCACTGCCCCAGGGGGAAACTGGACAACTCCAACACATTTTCAGTATTAGAGCACTTAACACCCCAATAAAATACCCCAATAAATGAAATGATCTGCATGCAGGAGAGAAACCTGCAGATGAAGCTGACAGCAACTCACCAACTTCCTATTCTTCAAATATTTTGATAACATCCCAGCAGCACAAAACCACCAAAGTTTGTTTGTTATTTTAAGACAGGACTATCAGACCAATAAAGACGCTACAGGTGTGAACAGTGAAGTGTTTTTCCCCATTATATAACGCTCACACACAAGCCAAATTTGTCTTTAACGGCATTGGAAATTCTCAATGAACCTTTGTTAAAAAGATCAATAGTTTATGACTTCAGGTATCTAAAATCAGCCCCACAGATGGTTCGGAAGATGAAACTGGGGTGGTAGAGCCCTGAGAACCCTGTGGCWCAGCTGCCCAGCAGCSCCAGSATGTTTTACTGCTGCACCTTGGTGGCTGCAGAGCTTGGCCCTGCTCCTGCCAGCAGCTCCGAGGGCCTGAAAGGCAGCTCTGTTCCCTCCCTGCTCCTCGTAGTAGCCCTGAACAACCCTCAACTACTACAACTCCCAACAACAGTTTACTAACAGCGGAGAAACCAAAACAAAAATCCGATTCCTATCTTTGATCAGACTTCGTCAGGTTTGTCCCAAGGATTGAGGATGGGGAAAATTGACTGTGAAGGGGAAAATGACTCTAAAAACTGCAGAGATCAGGGTTTTTTTTTAATTGCACCTCCAACATAATTTGGTGCTGCACACACAACCCCCGTGGCCATTGTGCAGGGCTTTAATACACTCACAACTTAAATACATGGGACATCTAACAGGACTGACTCCTCCGGCTTTCGAAGAGTCTGGAAATCACCACCTTCCCCAAATACTTGAAAAAACACTGAGAACACAATATGACTAAATCCTGACTGATTTTATGACTACAATTAGATTTAATGGCATTTCCCCATTAAGTTTCCCTTTAGCAAACAATACCAAAATCCTTCAGTAACATCACAGGAAGCACTCAAGCTCCTATGCAATAGCACAAAAAAATGAAGTAATTAATGGTAAGAAATTCATTTATCATCAAATTGAGGTGTGTATTAACTGCAGCAAAGAAATCTGGGAGGGGGGGGGGGCGAAAGGAAGTTACAAGTTATCTCAAGGCAGAGTGCAAAAAAAAAAAAACAAAAAGGCAAAACAAACAAAGGAAGATACTATGAATCCCCACCAAAAAATTTCCAGTATCTATAGATTGTGACAAGCCCATTTCCAGTGAAAAAACAAGGTACAAAGTTGCACTGCCACAGCCTTTGCTCCCTCAAAAGGCTGCGAGTCCCTCTGTCCATGCACCCTTTAATTAATTTCTGGGTTAATAAGGGCGTTATCGTAAAAATCAGGAGGGTCCACAAAATCTCAGTGAATGGATTTCAGGAGATCCACACGAGCGCCTGCTACTCCAGGCACTTCCTCTTTGGGCTGCTCCAGCCCAGGCAGCTCCAAACACGAGCGGAAAACTTGGCAAAGGCGACATTTTGAAAGGGAGCAAAGGGGAAGGGAGCATTGTGGGTAGTTCAAGTTTAGTTCCAAGCCGTGTTTTTATGGGAATGCCGTGTTCGAGGTGGCGGGACAGCTGAATCCTGTCATTCAAAGCTCTCAGAGCCCCGAGAGTATGAGCAGTCACCTACACAGGCACTCACAAACCCGCAGCTGCTCAGGGCCTCCGGAGCCTCTTTCATTCCCAAACTCTTCCTAAAAATAGAGCGTCAACTTTTCCCAGGTAAAAGCACTGGCTGGGCAGAATCCCGGATTTTGCAAACAAAGGCGTCCACGCTGCTGCACCGCGCTCAGGGCAGGCGGCTCTGCTTTTCCCTGGATGAAAACACGGCGTGGAAATGAATTGCTCCGCGTTATCGTTACAGGCAAAATTCTTCGGATTATGGGATATTCCACAAACAGCAAAAAAACTTGGGTGAAATCTCCGAGCAAGTTCAAAGCACCGGTGGTGACAACACTGAATAAAGGAGCTTTAATCCACACAGAGCTCGGCTCCATAGCCGGATCGTCACGGCCCTGATTCCATATTCCACTCAAAATCACAGATTATTATGGAATTAACGCGGTGGGAAACGCCCGTTTCAAAAAGTTCAATCCCAAAGTAGAGGAGTTTGGGTTGGGTGGGTTTTTTTTGGAAAGTTCCACTGGAAATGAAAGCAGGGCCATTGTTTGAGAGCTGTGTGGCCTAGCAGAACTTTTAACGCTATCCTTGTGTTTTCCTGAAAACCTGGGGAGTCGCGGCCCTGAATTCCTGACCCACTGGATTCCCAAAACCAGCATTAAAACCCTAAAGGACCCACGGTCCCCCTTACCCCACCTCCATCCCTCTGAATAATGGAAATTCCTTACTCATGATCTGCCTAATAAAATCTCTGCTCCGAACAAAGTTATTAAACATTGACCAAAGCAAACAACAACAACAACAAAAATCAGAGCATTTCTCAGGTTGGGCCGAGAGACTCTCAAAATTCCAAGTTTGCGGCTCACAAGGGCCGAGGCTGTTGTTATGTGAGCACGAGATAAAAACAAGGGGAAAAAAAAAAACCCCACACAAACACAAAACCCCCAGGGTCACCCAGCACATCCAAAAGGATTGTTTGCCTTTTCCTCCCTCCCGCTGCCAGCCCCGACCCCCTCCTCTTCCAGGGACCCCCAACGCCGCCGAAACCTCCCCAAAACCGGGGGGGAAGGAACCAAACCACCCCCCCGGAGCCCTCGGGGCAACAAAGCAGGGGCTCGGCCGGAGCGACAGAGCCCCCCGGATTGAAGCCCCAGGAGAAGGGGGAGACCCTTCGGGACTGAGCCCCTCGAGGAGAAAGGGGAGACCCTCCCCAGGAGAAGGGGGAGCCCCACTGGCCAAGGGGGAGCCCCCGGCGGGCCTGGCCCGGGGGCAGGCGGGTGCGGGCCGGGCCGGGCCCGCGGCCCCCCAACAATAACCCCCGTCCCCGTTACCGGAGCGCCCGCGGGGCCGCGCTCGGGGCCCAGGGGTGCCCCTGCGCCCCCTCCCCGCTAACAATGGGCCCAGGCCGCGGCCCCGACACGGAGCCGGGCGGGAGCGCCGGCGCAGCGCCCCCGCCGCCGCTCGCCTTCGGGGCGGCCTGGGGCCGCTCCTCCCGCGCCCCCCGCCAATATGCGCCCACGGGCGGGTCCGCGGGGGTCCGCGGCGCGGCGGGGCCGGCCCCGGGCCGGTACTCACGGGCGGAGCGCTCGGATGCAGACGGATGCCGGGCCCCCCCCGGCCGCTCGCCGCTGCCTCTCCCCGGCCGCTCACTCCGACAACATGGCGGCGCGGCGGGGCCGCGGCCGCGCTGCACCACGGGAAGGCGAGGCCGCTCCAGCGCCGCCGGGACGGGGCGGGATGGCCGAGGATGGCCGGGGATAGACCGGGAAAAAACGGGAAGGGACGGGAAGGGACGGGAACGGACGGGACGGGACGGGACGGGACGGGACGGGACGGGACGGGACGGGATGGAGCGGACCGGACCGGAACGTGCCCGGGCACTGCCCCCGACCCCGCCCCAGAGCCCGGGATGGGGTCAGCCCGCAGCGCCCGCCCAGCGTGGCCCCTGCCCCGGCCGGGAGTGCGGGCGCAGCCCCGCTAACAGCCCCGCGCTGCCGCTGGCACCGCTAACAGCGCTCGCTGGGCTGGCGGGGATGTGGCTGAGCCCCCTCTAACCCGGGCTCCCCCAGCCTGGGCACCCCGAATCCCGCTGCCTGAACACCCCAAGATCCCGCAGCCTTGGCACTCCCAGCTTGTGCACACCGAGCCGCACCAGGCCGGGCACCTGAGAACTCTGAACTCCTCTGTACCCCCCTGCATGGACATCCCAAACCCCTCAGCACCAGCCCCCCCAGGCCGGGTATCCTGAGCCCCCCCCGCCCCAAAACTGTGCACCCCGAGTGCTCCGAGTCCGAATACCCCCTAGCCTGGGCATCCTGAGTCCCCGAACCTGTGCACCCCAAGTTCCCCCAGCCTTGGCAGCCCCACCATGTCCACACCGAGCCCCCCAGGCCGGTCCTCCCGAGCCCCAGCCCGGTCCTCCCGAGCCCTCACCAGCGGGGATCCCCTCCTGCCCCGCACCCCGCTATCCCAGAGCCACACCGGGACGGGGGGGAACCGCGGCGCCTCCTCGCCCCCCACCAACACCATACACAATTTCGGGGTGGTTCTCCCTCCCTGCCTCCCCCCGCACCGTCCCCTGCGCACGGAGCCGGGGTTGCGGGGGAACTACAGCCCCCGGCGTGCGGCGCTGGGCGCGGAGCCCGGGCCGGGCAGGCGGCGCTGGCCGCTGGGAGCGGTAGTTCTGCCCCGGCTCCTCCATGTTAAAGGGGCAGCTCGGGGACAGCGCTTTGTGCCCGCCGTGGCTTCGGGCTTCGGGAAATGCTGAGCACTCGATGGCTGAGGCGATGTTTGCCCTCCGCCTCGGCCGGGCAGGAGAAGCAGCGGGAGAACAGGAGGGAAGCACCGGCGCTGGGAAGAGCTCGGGACATGCCCTCACTTGTACCGGGACAGAACCTACGGCTGTTCCAGGGGCTCCGTGCGGCCGTGGGGCTCGCAGCCCTCAGCCGCGGCTTTAGGGGGTTCAGTGGGTCCAAGGAGTCACTGCAAACCCGCGTTCTCAGTTGTTAAACCACGAGCAAAGCTGGCTCTCAGCCGTGCCTTGCATCCATTTTCTGCTCGACGGGCTGCGGGTTTGGGTGTTTCCACCGCCACACCGCCCGTTCCATCGGGCACCTCCTCGTGGGGCAGCGGGGCCTCATCCCGACCAAAATAAGCCCAAAATTCTGGGGAAACGTGGCTGGAAAGGGTGGGTGCGGAGTGTCCCAGACCGGGTGTGACAGGGAACGGTCACCATGAACAGCGAGCAAAGGTTTTCCACGCTGAGGGTGGGTTTGGAGCCGAGCCCTGCACGGACACCCAGAGGTGCTCTTGGTCAGCAGCAGCGTGGGGTGTGTGACCTGGCAAAGCCCTGCTGGGATAAACTCAGCTCTGCTGGGATAAACTCAGCTCTGCTGGGCTGGGCTCTGCTGTGACACTGGGCAGGGACCCCTCCGGCCACCCCACGAGTGGACCCAGCTCTTCTGGGCCATTCCTGCGGCTCCTGTGCCTTGAATTCCCTGAAGAGGGGTAAGGGGCTAGAGAGGGAATCCCCTGAGGAGCGGCTGAGGGAGCTGGGAAAGGGGAGAAAAGGGAGAAAAAGGAGAAAAAGGAGATCGGGGGGAGCTTCTGGCTCTGCACAACTTCCTGACGGGAGGGATCAGTCGGGGCGGGGGGTGGTCGGACTCTGCTCGCATGGAGCAACGGGAGAAGAAATGGGCTCGGGCTGTGTCAGGGGAGGTTTGAGTGCAGTATCTGGAGCTGCTTCTACCCTGGAAAGGTGATCAGGCTGCCCAGGACATTCACCATCCCTGGAAGTGCTCAGGAAACCTGTGGATGAGGCACTCGAGGACGTGGATTAGTGTGTGCAGCAGTGTGGGGTCCATGGTTGGACTCGGGGATCTYRGAGGGCTTTTCCAACCCAAACAATTCCATGKTTCTGGGGTGGCCCCTGCAGTGTCCCCAAAATGCCATTGGTGTGAGCCAGGCCAGCCTCTTACTGTGGTGGAAATATGAATGACGGGATTTGTCATCTTGGTCCTGGACCAACTAGATCTGTCTGCACACCCATCCCTGCTGGTCCCACCCATCTCCGGGGCACCCTGGGCTCATAGGAGTCACCAGCGATGGCTCTTGGTGACAAATATTTGGGCTGCAAAGCTGGAGAGGTCAGGAGCTCTTTCCCACAGGGTGTCCTTGCTGGGGACAGAGGACTGGAGTGTTCCTGCACTTCTGCTGGCCACTTTTGGGGTGCTGTGCTTTCTTCTGGCCACTTTTGGGGTGCTGTGCTTTCTTCTGGCCACTTTTGGGGTGCTGTGCTTTCTTCTGGCCACTTTTGGGGTGCTGTGCCTGCAACCTGCCACCCTCAGCACCCCAGATTGCTGTCCCCCAGCTGTCACGCTGGTGGTGGCCCAGAGGTCCCACATGATGTCCTCACTGGGGACAGAGGGCTGGACTGTCCCACCACTTTTTCTGGCTGCTTTCGGGGTTCTGTGCTTTCTTCTGGCCACTTTTGAGGTGCTGTGCCTGCCAGCTGTCCCCGAGGTGCTGGCGGTGGCCTGGAGGTCCCCAAGCGGTGCCGCCCCTCTGCTAATTACACCCGGGGTGATTAACGCCGCTGTAATGAGCGAGGGAGGGAAGGAGTCCTGCCGGAGGTGAGGCGAGAGCGGTCCCATTTGTTGGGGGGTTTTGCCGGATTTAGGGAGAAACGGCTGCGAGGCTGGGGGGAGCTCGATTCTCATCTCCAGCACTTCCATCCCTCCCCCGGCCTGTCCTGCCTCCCTCTGCTGCCATCCTCTCCCTCTTCTGCCTCACTCAGACCCTGCCCAAGCTCCCAGCTTGCTGCAATCCGTGGAAAAGTCTTCCACTGGGAGAACACGCTACTCCAAAAAAGTTCCAGAGCCAGAGTGGGAGGAACAGGCGGTGAAAGCACTTCCACCTCCACAGGAAAAACCTTCTGGGGGTGGCAATGTCCCTCTGAATGTCGTGGTGCTGTCAGCCACTGAGAGCTGCCCTGGCTGACCCCACACCAGCCCTGGCAGGAGTTACCCTGGGATCCATCCTCATCTGCAAAGGGATAAAGGGACCCCCAGAAGGTGACTAATGTCCTCCCACCTCCCAGTGACTCCCTAGAAGGGCCTTTCTCCCTCTGTTCCCCACAGATGGAGTTTCAGTCCATGGTGATCTGCACTGAACACCCAAATTCCCCATCCAGACCAAATCCAGCCCAGATCCAGCCCCTGCTCTGTGCTCTGCCCAGGCTGCTCCTGGTGGCACCATGCCCAGCACCGCAGAATCTTCCCTTTGAAGGAGCCTGAGAGCAAATAAACCCAGCTCTGCTGCCGTGATTCATCCTCCTGGGAGCAGAGCTTCCCACAGCTCCACAGGGAAGACACCTGCACAGGACAGAGGGTTCACCTGGCAGGGAAAGCACCTTGGGTGTCTCCTAAAAGTGGCTCCAGTGCTGCCCCAGCTGTCCCCAGTGCTTTTATTTCAATGATAATTCCATGTCTTCAATTAAAAGCTAAACTGGAGGAAAGAGGATCCCCCTCTGCGTAGGGTACCAACATTTTCTTGGCCGCCAGGAAAAAAGAAATTTTTTAAAAATCCACTGAGTGACTCAATTTTTCCCAAACCAAGCCAAAAACTGCTGAGGTCTTTACGCAGAATATTTTCAGAGTGTGCTGGCTTGACCAAAAAAATCTTTGACGAGCCAACTGCATCACTGATTTGCATCACTGGGGCAGCGTTTCGTCAAAGGCCGGTGCCTTGAGATGCCAATGACCAGCCCTGAGCTGAGCAGCGCCAGTGCTGCTCCCTGAGCACATCCCTGCTCTGAAACGATGTCCAGACACCTGAAATCGGGGATTTACTCATGGAAACGCTGGTGGAAATGATTCCTTGTGGTCAGCAGTGGCCAGAGAGCCTTGCTGGGCTCTGCAGCAGCCCCAAGCCTTTGGACAAACCAACCCCTGCTGTCCCCAGCACCTTCCACCCACGGGTTTCTTGCCACACTCGTGTTGAGACACCCAGAGCAGACACCCACAGCAGACAGGGTTGTTGGTTTTTTTTTTCCAGGAGTCCCAGCCAAGTGTCTAAAAGCGGCTGCTGAGATGTTGTGGTTCTGGGAAGCTGCCGGGAGTTCTGGCTGTGGACCCACCTGGCAGTGGTGGAGCCTCAAAGTTCTGTCTGGGCTGGAGAGCTGCTTTAGCCTGTGAAAACACCACCCCCAGAAATGAAAGTTTTTAAGCAGCTCCCACCCACCAGCCGTGCTCTGGGCTGTGCTGAGCCCTACACAGAGTGCCCAGCCCCGGGTGCAGGGACAAAGTTGCTCTGGGAGATGTTTGAGGGTGTTTCAATCCCATTATTTCCTCCTGATGTTCATGGAAGCCGCTGGCAGAGACATGCAGATCCCATGGTCAGGGAGGGGC